TCGGCCTCCTAAAGTGCTAGAAATACAGGCATAAGCCGCTGTACCGGCCTATTTATTATTTTTTAAGACAAGGTCTCTCTTTCTTCCAGGCTGGAGTACAGTGGTGCCATCCTGGCTCACTGCAGCCTCTGCCTCCTGGACTCAAGTGATCCTCCTGCCTCAACCTCCTGAGTACCTGGGACCACAGGTGCGCATGGGATTACAGAGCTTTTTTGTCCAGAAAAATGTCAAATTTATAGAAAAGTTGCACCAATGGTACAATGAGCACCCACATGCTCTTCACCTAGATTCACCATTTTTTAGCATTTTGTTATACAGGTGTCCCTTGAACACCAGTTTGTCATGAATGCATAAAATATATGTAGATATCAGTCTATTTTATCATGTTCTGCCATAAAATACACACAAATCTATTATAAAAAGTTAAAATTGGTCAAAACTGAGTACTTGCTTTAAATGCCTGTGACACTAATCATCATGTCCACAGTGGCCGTTACTATCTCCAGTCAATTGCATACCGTAGTAAAAAAAATCACCTCTTGTGGTTTTCACATGTCTTTCATTGTGTTTAGTATAATGCTGTAAATCTTGAATAACACCATGGGACCCACAAGGAGTGCCTCTAGTAATGCTGGAAGCGCTCCCAAGAAGCAGAGAAAAGTCGTGACATTATAAGAACAAGTTGAATTGCTTGATGTGTAGATTGAGTGAGGGTTGAGGTCTGCAGCTGCAGGTGCCCACCATTCCAGACAGACAATTCATCTTATAAAGATAGTTGAAACTTACGGTATCAGTAAATACAGTACAGTACCATAAGTGTATTTTCATTATGATTTTCTTACTAATATTTTCTCTGGCTTACTTTATTGTAAGAATACAGTATGTAATACATATAACATACAAAATAACTATATTATCAGTAAGGCTTCCTGTCAACAGTAGCCTATTAGTAGTTAAGTTTTGGGGAGTCAAAAGTTATATGTGGGTTAGTCAGAATCCGTGACTGATGTTGTTCAAAAGTCACACTGTATTTGCTTCTCTGTCTCTCTGAATACACACACACACATATGTTTACATTTACATGTCTACATTTACGTATATATTAACATACATATATTACATATATATGAGCCACTTGGGAATTTGTTGCAGACATCAGGACACTTCCCCTGTAAATACTTTTGCCTGTGAGTCCTAAGAAGAAAGTCTTTCTCCTTCATAACTATGATGAAAATATTATATCAGTTTCCTGGGTATAATAATATCTAATATTGAATTCATATTCAAATTTATGCAACTTTGGAAATAATGTCTCTTATAATTGTGGTGTTTCCCTCCTAAACCAAGAAGCAAACAAAGGTCCAGTCCAGAATCACGCCATGCATTTAGCTGTAGTTTTTTGAATCTTCTTTGATCTGCAGACTGCTGCCCTACCACTTTGTTCTTTCATGATATTGCCATCTTTTTTTTTTTTTTTTTTTGAGAAGGAGTTTCGCTCTTGTTGCCAATGGCACCATCTCGGCTCACCGCAACCTCCGCCTCCTGGGTTCAAGCAATTCTCCTGCCTCAGCCTCCCAAGTAGCTGGGACTACAGGCGTGCACCACCATGCCCAGCTAATTTTTGTATTTTTAGTAGAGACGGGGTTTCACCATGTTGACCAGGATGGTCTCGATATCTTGACCTCGTGATCCACCCGCCTCAGCCTCCCAAAGTGCTGGGATTACAGGCGTGAGCCACCGCGCCCGGCTGATATTGCCATCTTTTAAGAGCTCAAGTCAGTTGCTTTGCAGAATGTTCCTCAATTTTGATTTGTCTGTTTCTTCATTAATCAGGTTAAGTGTATTAGAAATACTACCCAGATGATGTGTGTTCTTCTTGTTCTTCTCACAAGGAGACACACTCAGTTTGTCCTACTACTGGAAAAGCTAAGTTTGGTTTTTGGCTAAGGCAATGTCCAGCAAATGTCTCCATTGCCTGAAAATTGTCTCCTTTATAATTAATAAGCAATCCAGGAAGTGCTACTTTAAGACTGTAAATAACCTATTCCCAGGCTTTCAGCTAATAGTTTAGCTTCCACTGGTGATTCTTGGCTGAATCAATTATTAACAGGCTTGTTGCAAAATGGTGAATTCCTAATTTTATAATATTTATTTATTTTATTTATTTATTTTTTTTGAGACGGAGTTTCACTCATGTTACCCAGGCTGGAGTGCAATGGCGCGATCTCGGCTCACCGCAACCTCCGCCTCCTGGGTTCAGGCAATTCTCCTGCCTCAGCCTCCTGAGTAGCTGGGACTACAGGCATGCGCCACCATGCCCAGCTGATTTTTTGTATTTTTAGTAGAGACGGGGTTTCACCATGTTGACCAGGATGGTCTCGATCTCTTGACCTTGTGATCCACCCGCCTCGGCCTCCCAAAGTGCTGGGATTACAGGCTTGAGCCACCACGCCCGGCTGTAATATTTATATTTATTGGTTGTCATTCTTCTGTTTAGAAAAAGCACCTTTACTTCTCTCTCCTGTTATATTAATATTAGTAGCAGCACTAGTGTAGTAATCATAGTAATATGAACCCATGGATTCTTTTTAATTGAATGTTTTTAAATAAATATTTGTAAAACTACCAAATTCAACCAATGGCAGCCCCTTCAAACTTATTCCTGTGGCCTTTTGACATCATCATTTGTCCCCATCATTCCTTGGGTGCTTGTTTTCTGTTACAGGCCTGAGGTGTCAGCAGGAAAGATGCACTAGCGGCCTCTAGGGCCATCGGTAGGCCACCTCCCTTCTCCTCTGAGTCCGCAGCTTGGACCTCCAGACTCTTCCTTGGCTACTCCCGGGAGAGCTCCACCCCCAGGACACTGCTCCAGGCTCCTCCCAGGGGCTCTCCATTCCTGGAGCCCGGCTTCCCCACCCTCTTCCACCTCAACCCCAGAGCGCTTCATCCCCAGAGCCGGGCTGCAGGCTCCACCCTCCAGTCGCTCGGTCAGTGGCCCAGGCTGACGGTCTCCGTGGCTGCAGGGGGTGACCTCTCAACACGGCTCTTTGCTGGGCCTGGAGCTTCCGGAGAGATGGCGGGTAACATCCGGACCTCTCCGTCCATCCCTTTCGGGCAGGTGCCCTGGCTGCGCCCAGCCCCTCCCCGGGGGGAAAGTGTGCGTGCGCCGCTGAAGTTGCGAATGGCGGGTCACTCACAAGTTCAAGTACGCAGGGCGAGCGGCACTGCAGGTCGTGGCGCGGGTTCCTCCGGCCATCTTGGTGAGGGGGGGACAAAAAGAAGGAGCTGCTGAGGAGCCTACGGAGTGGGGCGGCAGCCGCCTCCCTGGAGGGGAGGGGATGGCCGGGTAGGGACCTGCGTCCCTGCCTGCGCCCAGAGCTGGGCCCTGAGCTTGGGATCAGTTTGACAACTTAGAAAAATGGTAGTCTTGAGAAATTCATCACATCTGCCAAGGAAAGGACTGAGACTGAACTAGCTTCAGCTATGCGAAACAACTCGGGAATCGTTTGAAGAAATGCCAACCTAAAAAGCACTGGAAGGAGAAAGAATACATTAAGCAAAACTCTCCTTCCCTCCCTGTGAACAAAACGAGTGATCACGCTGGGCAACATTAAGTTACCGTCTTTGGCTGGGTGCGGTGGCTCATGCCTGTAATCCTAACACTTTGGGAGGCTGCGGTGGGCGGAACACTAACTAGGTCAGGAGTTTGAGATCAGCCTGACCAACATGGTGAAACCAGTCACTACTAAAAATACCAAAATTAGCCAGGCGTGGTGGCCCGTGCCTGTAGTCCCAGCTACTCCAGTGGCTGAGGCAGCAGAATCGCTTGAGCCCAGGAGGTGGAGGTTGCAGTGAGTCGAGATCAGTCCACTGCTGCCTGAGCGACAGAGCAAGACTGTCTCAAAAAATAATTAATTAATTAATTAATTAAAAAGTTATCTTCTCTAAGGTCTTGAACTTTCAGATCACCATGGAGTTACAAGGCCATGTTCAAAACCAAAAGCCAAAACCACCAACAGAGACCTGATGGAAGCAACCTGAGTCAAGTAAAAGACAATAGAATGAGATTACAAAAAGGCTGCTGAGCACATCAGTATTATGAGAAAATGATGTTTTAAAGACATACACGTTTTTAAAAGTCAGTGTTGAAAAAGATGCACCACAAGCTGAGAAAACATCACCAATGGCAGAAGACAGCAGACTGCTCAATGAGAATTGAATTACTCATCAATTCTTCAAGAAATTTGACACTGAGCTGCAAGAATTTTACTATCCTAATATTTGCAACAACTTTCAGAACATACAAGAGATGGAGGAAAAGAGGATGGTGAGAATGGGAGAATCAGTGAAGACATAGGAGAGATCGGTCAACAAGTGATAGCAATCAATAGGAGATGCTTGGAGAGAACAGTAAAGGCAGCTGAATCAATTATCAGAAAAATGCCACAGCTGGTAATAAAAACTTCCAAGTCAGAGTATGAGCCTCCTGGAGATATATGAGGATTACACTCTGCCAATGAAGTGCTTGATAATAGTCTTTCAAATTTCTGAGGAGAAGGCAAACCAAGGTCAGTTGTGGTGGCAAATCCAAAGGAAACTTTTGGCTATTCATAAAAATGTATAAATGAGGCTCCCAAGCAGCCAAAGGAACTGACTGCTTCAATGAGCTCATGATCAAACCCAAAATTGGCTGCTTCAAAAGTCTGTAACGTAGGCTGGGCAGTGGCTCACACCAGTAACCCCAACACTTTGGGAGGCCTAGGTGGGTGGATCACTTGAGGTCAGGAGTTTGAGAGACCAGCCTAGGCAACATGGTGAAACTCCATCTCTACCAAATATACAAAAATTAGCCAGGTGTCAGTGTGCGCCTGTAATCCCAGCTACTTGGGAGGCTGAGATGGGAGAATCACTTGGACCCAAGAGGCAGAGGTTGCAGTGAGCTGAGATCATGCCACTGCACTCCAACCTAGGTGACAGAGTGAAACTCCACCTCAAAAAAAAAAAAAGTCTGTAGTATAAGGGGTGTAACCCCAGAGGATATTGGCAGTCTTCTACCTCAACTGAAAAGGAAAAACCTAAAGAGAATGTCAATGAAATAAACACAAATGGAGATGGATCAGAGATGGCATAACGAAAATGGAAAACATGTACCAAAAGAATTCTCAAATGGGAGACCCAGCCAGTTTGTCACAAATGAACAAAATTTAGACAAAAATATAGAAAAACCAGAGGCCCAGCCAGTCTCTTCTGCGTACCTGTCTAAGACGTCTTAGTTCGGCCTGTTGTGGAGTAGTAACCGCCAAAAAGGACTTGGAAGAGGTCGCACGAGGCCCTCAACGCCACCATGCCCAAGAATAAAGGTAAAGGAGGTAAAAACAGGCGCAGGAGCCGGGCGCGGTGGCTCAAGCCTGTAATCCCAGCACTTTGGGAGGCTGAGGCGGGTGGATCACGAGGTCAAGAGATCGAGACCATCCTGGTCAACATGGTGAAACCCCGTCTCTACTAAAAAAAATACAAAAAATTAGCTGGGCATGGTGGCACGTGCCTGTAATCCCAGCTACTCAGGAGGTGAGGCAGGAGACTTGCCTGAGCCCAGGAGGCAGAGGTTGCGGTGAGCCGAGATCGTGCCATTGCACTCCAGCCTGGGTAACAAAAGCGAAACTCCATCTCAAAAAAACAAAACAAAAAAAAAAAAACAGGCGCAGGGGTAAGAATGAGAATGAATCTGAAAAAAGAGAGTTGGTGTTTAAAGAGGATGGACAAGAGTATGCTCAGATAATCAAAATGTTGGGAAATGGACGATTGGAAGCATTGTGTTTTGATGGCGTAAAGAGGTTATGCCATATCAGAGGGAAATTGAGAAAAAAGGTTTGGATAAATACTTCAGACATTATATTGGTTGGTCGACAGACTATCAGGATAACAAAGCTGATGTAATTTTAAAGTACAATGCAGATGAAGCTAGAAGTCTGAAGGCATATGGCGAGCTTCCAGAACATGCTAAAATCAATGAGACAGACACATTTGGTCCTGGAGATGATGATGAAATCCAGTTTGTGATACTGGAGATGATGATGAAGACATTGACGATATCTAAATTGAACTGAGTGATTTTACATTTGAAGTTTTCTGAGGATTGTTCTACAGTTGGGATTTTGACTATCACCAGTTAAGAGAAATTCGTTTCGTTTAGTTTGTTAAAGCAAGCTGATATTTTCATTGTTTTAAAGTATTTCTTTCTTTTTTTTTTTTTTTTTTGAGACGGAGTTTTGCTCTTGTTACCCAGGCTGGAGTGCAATGGCGCGATCTCGGCTCACCGCAACCTCCGCCTCTTGGGTTCAGGCAATTCTCCTGCCTCAGCCTCCTAAGCAGCTGGGATTACAGGCACGCGCCACCATGCCCAGCTGATTTTTTGTATTTTTAGTAGAGACGGGGTTTCACCATGTTGACCAGGATGGTCTCGATCTCTTGACCTCATGATCCACCCGCCTCAGCCTCCCAAAGTGCTGGGATTACAGGCGTGAGCCACCGCACCCGGCCTAAGTGTTTATTTCTGTAAAAGCTGATGACACTGAATTGTGTCATCAAAAAAGAAGTATTAAATGTTAACATTGTTTTGATGTAATGGAACTTAGAGATAAAAGATCATAATATTTGCTGTAAAAACAAATAAACGAATGCCTTTTCTACTGTGAAAAAAAAAAAAAAAGAGAAAAACCAGAGGCCCAAAAATGTGAAGTCTAGCTGGCTGAGGTTGAAGGCAGGCTCACATAAACCAAGTGAGCAGGCCTGACAACAGAGTGGAATGTACAAAAACCAAATCCAAAATCCCAGAGAAGTTTGCACAAGATTGGAAGAGCTCAGAAGGCAGTTACATAGAGGAGCCAGTCAAGAGAGTGGGATGAGGACTTCTGGTCGTGGATTTTGATAGTGAAAAATAAATATATATATTTTGAGACAGTCTTGCTCTGTCACCCAGGCTGGAGTGCAGTGGCTCCATCACGGCTTACTGTAGCCTTGCCCCCCCAGGCTCAAGCTGGCCTCCCACCTCAGCCTCCCAAGTAGCTGGAACTACAAGCATGTGCCACTACGCCTGGCTAATTTTTATATTTTTTTTATAGAGATGGGATTTCGCCATTTTGCCCAGGCAGGCCTTGAACTCCTGGGCTCAAGCGATACATTCACCTTGGCCTCCCAGAGTGCTGGGATTATAGGCATGAGAAACCACACCCAGCCTTGATAATGAATTTGATGATGAGGAACTGCTTCCTGCTTTAGGGACTTGGAAAGCCCTCTACATGTTTGAAGGTCAGAATGAAGGAACAATTTCAATAGTTGAAGCAAAAATATTGTATGTTATAGAGGGAAATGAAGGTGCTGGGTGAATCTGCTTTTGGAAAAATGAAGATGAAGAGTTAAGTCCCTTATTTATTTGTCAAAATTGATTTGGACTAAAATGCCAAAGGTGCTAAGATGTATATTTAATATCACTCAATTTTTTTTTTGAGATGGAGTCTCATTCGGTCGCCAAGGCTGGAGTGCAATGGTGCAACCTCAGCTCACTGCATCCTCCACCTCCCAGGTTCAGGTGATTCTTCTGCCTAACCCTCCCATGTAGCTGATATTACAGGCTCCTGCCACCATGCCTGGCTAATTTTTGTATTTTTAGGAGAGATGGAGTTTCACCATGTTGACCAGGCTGGTCTCGAACTCCTGACCTCAGGTGATCTGCCCGCCTTGGCCTCCCAAAGTGCTGGGATTATAGGTGCAAACCACTGTTCCCAGGCTCACTTAGATTATTTTTAAATTGTAGGGCTTTCTCCCCTACAACAGTGACTGTTACAGGTAGCTTCAAAAGGCTGGCTGGATGGATAACACCATGGTACAATACATGTTTTCAGACAGCCACACAGTAGACTTTTAGGTATCATACACTTGAATTTTCCTTGGCTAGTTTTGACTCTAATCAAGTTTCTCATGCTGAGATGAAGCTTTATATGGAAAGCTGCTAACTGCCAATTTACATCTGTGTTATTTGAAATTTGGTAAACATTTCTTCTTTTGGCAGCATTTATAAACACCAAAAAATGTTGTATTCTAGCTTCTAACCATCCTTTGTGAATACGAAAGTATGGCAATGTGGAGGTACAGAAGACTTTAGCTCTCATATATAGTGCCTGCCGCAAAGCACACTAAAATTTTCCTTTTCTTTAACTTTATAGAGATGGAGTCTCACTGTGTTGCCCAGGCTGGTCTCAAACTCCTGGCCTCAAGCAGTCCTCTCACCTTAGTCTCCCAAAGTATTGGAATTACAGGCATGAGCCACCATGCCCAGCTGAATGTTATATTTTCTAGTTTAGTAAATTGAACTATGCTAGTTTGTTAAATTTTACCGTTATTCACTTTGAGGAAATCACAAACAAAATTTAAATCTCAATTTTCTTTGAGGCAGTGGTCTTGCTATATTGTCCAGGCTGGTCTTGAACTTGTGGCTCAGGTGATCTTCCCACCTCAGCCTCTGAGTAGCTGGGATTCTCACCCTTTATGAGTACCGAAGTAAACAAGTACTTGTACTAAAAGTTTGTATTTTTTCTTAAACATGGTTAAGATTATTGTTTTCATCATGATTGCCCTATCATGTCTATTTGATCCCATAGAGCCAATTGAAATCTGGAAAAGTTTGGTCAGTTAACCTGTTGGTTTTTACATATGGCACCAACTGATCTCTACCAGGTTGAAACAGTAGATCAGCTGTTTTAATGCGGAAAAGAGAAGCTTATATAAATATAATGCACATCTATTAATACTTCTCACTTCCTTAGTTCTGTTTCAGACAGAGGTTTTGTAGCAAGGGACCTGTATTCAGCTGATACTTCCCTAAGCGAGACTAAAACTAGAAAGCCTCATGGCAGTAGCTACACTCATACATAGGCATTGATCTTAGATCTGTGTAGATTTTTAAATCATTGGCATCTTTTGGACCTAAATTTTGTTGGAAATTTAGGTCCAAAAAAAAAAAATTGCTGGAATTTTTTTTTCCCCCAAGATGGGGTTTTACCATGTTGGCCAGGCTGGTCTTGAACTCCTGACCTCAGGTAGTCCACCCACTTTGGCCTCCCAAAGTGCTAGGATTACAGGTGTGAGCCACCATGCCCGGCCTGGAATTTTTTTAAAAAGTTAGTAAATGTAAAGGCTAACTTTAGAAAATGTTAATATGATTAACTTTATCCAGAATAAAATAATTTGCCACCTTTATAGAAATCTGGCCATGTAGGAATTTGCGTTCTTAAAATTGGCACTGATGCCAGAGGATAGATAGTGAAATTGGTCACATGCATAGGCAGCTACCAAGTCCAGTGTTTAATGGTGCCCAGGGAAGAGGATTGAAGCACATACCAGAGAACTAGCTGTAACTGGGTCAGAGGGAAAGTGTCAGGCTGAGACATTAAGTTTTAGATAGAAAAATGAGCTTCTTGCCTCGGCATTATTGGCTCATCTCATAAGCTCAAATCAGGGGATCAGAAGCTGGCAGAAGGGACTGACTCATTCTTGTTGATCTGGATGACCTCTGTTTCAAGGTTTCAGCAGTGAGTTAGCTTACGACTTATAAGGTCTCCCAAAGTGAACTACTGTAGTCTTTACTTAGTGACAGACTAATTTACAACTATATAATTTTTTTGTTTGTAATTAAAATTTCTTCTGAATTATTAATGGTTTTACTGACATGATGTTGATAAAGCCTCTCATCTTGCTGTTAAGTATTGTAGTGAGAAAATCAGCTGACCTGGAAACCACGAGGATTGGTTCTAATGAGCCATAAATGCTTCCTCTCTTCCTTTAACACTAGATTACCAGCTTTAGGCATTTAACCAAGCGAATTAGAGACAGAAGATATTAAAATCTGACCATTCTATATCAGATGATCAACTCATTTCTAGACTACCCAAGAAAGCAAGTTAAACACTGAAAAAGCCTAAAACAGGGCAAATTGACATTAGCTTTTTAAACGCCTGCCTTGAAAAACATGTTATTCTGTGAGGTTTTTTCTTTTTCTTTAAAGTCGTGCAAATTTGATTCAGAAAAATAGCTCAATTGGTTTGTATACAGCATGGGAGAAGGGGTTGTGTGCATAAATGTATGATGATTATGTTCTCCTTAAACCCATCCCTTTCGTGCAAAGCTACTGCTTCTTGATGTCCATAAGTCAAGGCAGTTATTTTTTTGTCCTTGTTGTTGTTTTTGCTTGGTGTGGTTTCCGAAATGTGATTATTTAATGTTTGCCAAGATGTTTGGAATAGAGTAACTTTCAACTGGTCAATTGATTGTGACTTTCTTCTTTGGTAGTTTTTTGTTTGTAAAATTGTTTCCTGTCAAACCCATCTATAATTCCCCCAGAATATATTTACATGGACTAAGGCTTACCAAAAATAAAGAAAATCTGAGAAACTGCCATAGCCAGGAGGAACCAAAGGGACATGATGACTAAATGTAATGTGGTGACATGGAGGGCCCACCCAGGAAAAAGACATTAAGGTGAGACTAAGGAAACCTGAATAAACTATGGGCTCTCATTAATAACCGTGCAACAAACTTATTGTAACAAATGCCCCATACTAATGTAAGATGTGAATAATAGGGAAACTGCATGTGGAGCATATGTGAACTCCACTATCTTCAAAATTTTTCTGTAAATGTAAAACTGTTCTAAAACAATAAAGGCTATTAAAAAAAAAAAAAAAAAAAAAAAAGCTGGGCTCATGCCTATAATCCCAAGACTTTGGGAGGCCAAAGCAGGAGGGTCACTTGATGGCAGTTCAAACAGCCTGAGTGACGTAGTAAGACCTGAACTCTACAAAAAAATAAATAAATAAATAAATAAAATAAAAAAAAGAAAGAAAGAAAGAAAGAAAAAATTAGCCAGGCATGGTGGTGTACACCTGTACTCCCAGCTACTTGGGGGGCTGAGGTGGGAGGATCAGCTGAGCCCCAAAAGTCAAGGCTGCAGGGAGTTGTGTATGCTCTACTGCATTCAAGCCTGGGTGACAGAGTGAGATCCTGTCTTAATAAAAAAGTATTTTTTAAATTGGCACGGTGGCTCATGACTGTAATTCCAGCACTTTGGGAGGCTGAGGGCAGGCAGAGGTCAGGAGTTCGAGGCC